TCATGTCTTTTACTTAGCACTAAAAGCTAAAATATTTTAATTATATTTTACAGTTTTTATTAGCTTTTTTTTCCTAGCCTAGCATTTTCTAGTAATTGTTTAGAACTCAGCATCCATAGTGATTTTTCCTAATTAATATGTAGTTACACACAGAATGAAGTCCATTCAAAGTTTCCTCAGAATTATAATCTGCTGATCTATATCCAAACAAAGCATTGTGCTGAGGATTCAGAGTATTGATTGTCCTTTAGTATATATTCTGTAATAAAAAAGGAGCTATGTTAAGCTTCTAGTCCCAGTCTATTGTCAATTTGTGAGAGGACACTAAAAGTTGTAGTTGCTGTTCTGTTCTTCATATTCTGCTCTTTTGGGCTGAGGGGAATTCAGGTCACACATGTATTTCAAGGATGAAGTGCTTAAGCAACAGAATAGTATGAAATAGATGCAAACTAAATTTTGTTGTATTAAGTTAAAATCATTATAACTCTATCCTATCTGATACCCTTTGGGAGGTTTAAAGTTAGAGATATTTTGGTAAAAATGAGAGTAGATCTTGCACTGATATACCAGGGGTTCCAGTTTTAACGGTGGTGCATTGCATTCCCTCACCTCACACTTTTATCGACGTCGTGTGTTACTCACTGGTACTTTGGACATTGTTGTTATACTTTCATTGACGTTGTAATAACTCCGACACTTCCAGGGACGTTGTATTGATCCCTGGGTCCTTTGGGCACAGTGTAATGTCACTGAACTCTTCCAGACATGACTGCAAGTCTCCCATTCAGCTGCACAATGAGGCTGCTGTTCATGAATGTCACCTGACTTTATGTGATGCTGCTTTTGTACAGCTGGTGTTCCACATTAACACTGATGGGCTGGTACGTGGCAGTATTCCTGTGGCTGTCTACGTGGTAATTCCAGTATGCTGTTTGGTTAACTTTTGTTTTATATTTTGAGTTTATTTGTAAATACCCATAGCAACTGTTTCACTGCAGAGGTTTAGTTTGCAGTTATAAAGCACTTTTTTACCTGGTGTTCAGAAAGCATAAAAAACCCCCCATGAGTATGAATACTGTACATAGAATGGTTGCCTAATTTAGATACTTACAATACAACTGATAATATTTGGGTCTATTTCCAGTTAGCAGCAATTTGCAACTGATTAAAATAAAATCCCAAAAACACTACAGAAGAGAATTGAATTTTGGATTCTCTATCAGCCAGTCTATCTTTCTTAATGTTTTGCCAACAAAATGACAGTATCTTGATATTAACTCCTTTAAAAAAACTTTAGGCAGCATAATATTGCTCCTGTTTCCTGCTGTCTGAGTGGAGTTTTAGGCGTTCTCAATTGCCTTTGTTCTTACCTATTTAAACAATATTATTCATCAGTTTTTACCTCCTCAGGCCACCTTTCTGACTTTAGCAAGTCTCATCTTGTCATCCATTCTGTCATGCTGTCTTTACAACAACTATTAAATGTCTTATTGTCAGTTTAAACTTAACACAGAAGAAATCACACTTAGTTTTTCCTTTGCCCACCCTCTCTCCTGGTATCACATCAACCATTACCTTGCTAATGATATTGACAGCCTGTTGGTATCTTAATTCTAAATCTACCAAGCAGTACCCACTCCTGCTGTGTCACGATATTAATGATGTTAATCTTGTGCAAATTAGCATATTTAACCCATGCTAACCCTGATTTGCATCTTCATCTGCTTCCAATACGATTGCCATTTCCCTAGTTAGAAGTGATGTAATCTATGTGAGCTTTTACGACAGAAGGTGAGGCTGGAGTCAGGCCACCCCTCCCTCTTCCTCCTCCCTCTTGGCAAGGATAAGAGCAGTCTAAAGATCCTCTGGTGGAGGAGGGTAAGGGAATTTTGGAAGGCAGTGACCCTCTAGATCCCGAGAGGGGAACAGTCAAGCACAGCTATAGTGAAGTGGCCGGGATCCCAGGGGAACATAAGAGAAATAATTCCCAAGGTTCCCTTGTTAGCAGTTGCACAGAGCACAGACTGTTAAGGGCAGAGCAAGAAAACAGCAGAAACACCCTGTCCAGAGAGTCTGAGAATATTTGCTGTTTTGTAATACCACCATAATTTTTTTTCAGCACCAGAATCATAAAAAAATCAAAGCAGCACCATATATCAATAGAGACTCGTTGCTGAGCTTCTTGACCCTCAGTGCCTTCAGTGTTAAAATGTTTTTTATTCCTTTCATTTCTTTTTTCCAGACATCTAAGCCATTTCTAGACCTGGTAGCTTTTTACTTTTTGGCATATACCAAAAGCTAAATCCTTTAGGTTATCTTCATGTTTTAAGCCTCCTTTAGGCAACATTTTTTTCTCCTCAAAATGTAAATCACTTTTGAAGAGTTCCTGCTACTGTGCTGCTGGCAGTCATTCTAGTTAATCTGTATGTTACATGAGAAGTAATACAAATGTTCTTTGTGTCCCCTTTGCCTACTTTTCGATATTTTACTGTTCATTCAGAAAAGAAATGGGCTTTTTTTTTTCTTTCTTTCTTTTTTTAAAGAGGGACAGATTATTTCTTTAGACCTGCAAGATAAGGTAGGCACTGCTGTAAACTCCACTGGATGTCATGCTGAGTCTCTGGACAGCAGCATCTCCTGTTCTACATCTGCTGAGTGAAGGCAGACGGGTCATTGCCTGCATAAGAACCAAGAACTAAATGCAGATTTACTCTTATGGTGATCATCCATTTGATATCTTTATAGTATTACTCGGATGTCTTTTTGTCTTTTTTTTTTTTTTTTTAACAAATCAATGTTCTTTCATGATTAGTTCTGCAGAAAAGCACACGTAAATCTTGCAGTAATTTTCCCATCAAGTTACTGCATTTCCCCTAGAATTGTTACAGTTATTAGACTTGTCTCTACTTCTGACAAGGTAAGATGATGTCAAGAATTCTGAATTTCAAAGAGCTCTAGGTTTGTTTCTCTAGCAAGTAATATTCTCCAGTAAGTAATATTTATGATACATTAAATAAGTTTTGAATTCCGGGCACTTTTGCTAAGTATGAGGCAAAGATCAGCCATTATTTTTCACTTATTTGAGTAAAAGAATTGGAAGGTGTGCATTGACACCAGCAGCTACCATTATACAAAGAATGGCTGTTGGAAATCAGAGTGAATTACCAAAACACATTAAAATCCTGTA